TCAGTAGATATTTATATATATATATATAAGTACCTACCTACCTAGTGAACAGTTGATGTTGAAATCAATGACTTCAAGAGGTATGTATATACATTAATCATAAATTTGAGAACAAGAAATATAACATAATAACATACCTAGGTAGGTATATATTGTTGATTTTTGTTCAATGTAGAAGATTCCAACGTCAACGTCAATATGCAATTTTATTAACATCACACAATATTTATGGATTATGGATTTATGGCATTAATAAAAATCTCCATTCACTCCAGCTCCTTTCAGTAAGTGCGCCACAAAATCGTCATTGTTATTAGTCGATACCACCAGTACCAGCAATTTGATAACGATAAGCTCAATCGTCCCAAATCATTTGAACAATTGAACATGTGCATGTGAGGTGAGGGAGGTCGTGCACCAAGATTTCTTTGGTTGATGGGGAACCATTCTCCTTTTTTTAATTAACAGCTTAATACCTACTCATTATTATTATTATTGTACGAGTATTTATCGATATATTCCTATTCACAAAAGATCCTCCTATATTGTAATCTCATTCATCTCAAAATGTGTTCAGCAGTACAATAACATCACTTCTCATTTACATTCTTTGCATTCTCCCCTTCTCCCATTCTACCCTGCCCTTTCTAATGTGGTGCCTTGACACGCTGACAACCCACCATATACCAATAAAATGTTACTTTTATACCAAGCTGGAAGCGTGAAGATAGGAGAAATCGTTCGGTATAATGTTACATATACGCCGGCACACGATAGAATTCTGCCCTCTCCGGCAAGACTCCATTTGAAGATCAAGAATACTTCTGCCATAGCACTCCGAGCAGCCTTCGTTCACGGGCCCTATACTCTTTACGCAGCAGCATATCCTTCTACCTTCAATCCAAACGTCAAGTTTGAAAACCCTAGACGGGATGGTGTACCTGAATTTGAGCCAAACCTAAAAGCCGGAGGTTCATTCTCAACGGAACTTGTTGTTCCAGAAGATGTGCGCAAAACTGCCGGAAGCGCAAATCGAGATGGAAGATCGCCCGGCAGAGATGATTCGGATGTGAAAAGTGTTACCTGGATCATTGAAGTCACGTCGCAGGTTGTCTTTTCCAACTCTGCCAGCGTTAATTACGAAATTCTGCTAGGTCGAGACGAAAAAAGTCTATCGTTAGGATTTGCTTCAGGATCGATGTTAGGAGGCACAGCACCAGTGCCTGGACAACTTCATGATCACCAACAGAGTCAAGGAGCGAAAGATGGCCATCATGCGGCACTACCGAGGGGTATTTATTCCAGGGCCCTGCGAGTAAAGGTTGATGATACTGCAAGTCTATGGAATACCCCGAAGATGGACAGTAGGGACGAGGCAGCGGAGGAACAAAGGTCGAAGGGCAAGAATAAGGATGCGCCAGTTGAAGATGCCACAGGAGAGGGTCACATCAAAGAAAAGCCGAGGAAGAAGCGAACGAAAAATGTACATTTGGTGGTTTTGACACACGGATTGCATAGTAATCTTGGTGCCGATATGCTATTCTTGAAGGAGAGCATAGACGCGACAGCCAAGCAAGCCAAGATCGATGCAAAAGCCCGAAAAGCAAAAAAGAAACAAGAGGAGAAGCAAAGAAAGGCAGCTGAACAGGCCGAAAATCAAAATGTACAAGTTGATGGTATATCAAATGGAGAAGCGAGTACAGAAGGACACCATGAGGAACAGGTGGAAGAAACAGACGATGAATCCGATGACGAGGAAGAAGTCATTGTACGAGGGTTTTCCGGGAATGCCGTCCGAACAGAAAGAGGAATCAAATACCTAGGAAAAAGGCTTGCCAAATATGTTCTCACGATGACATACCCAGATCAACCATTTCGACCTACCCTCAAGAAATCAGCAACTGAAGCCCTTTCTCATGCTCTTAAACCTGATTCTTCTAAGTTGACGGATGATTCTGGGAAACCAGCACATGAGAATAGCAGCATCATTAAAGCGCCGCAAGATGTTGACCTTCCTTATCATTTCACCAGTATTAGTTTCATTGCTCATTCTCTTGGTGGACTGGTACAAACATATGCCGTGGCATACATTCAAAAACATTCACCTCAGTTCTTCGACATAATCAAGCCAATAAACTTCATTGCACTTGCTTCACCATTCTTAGGTCTCAGCAATGAGAACCCGTTGTATGTCAAATTTGCATTGGATTTTGGATTGGTCGGTCGCACAGGTCAGGATCTTGGACTGACATGGCGAGCACCAACCATCGCAAGAAGCGGTTGGGGTGCGCTCGTAGGGAATATTGGAGAAAGTGCTCATAAGAGACTTGATGGCGAATCTGCGCCAGAAGCAAAGCCCCTTCTACGGATTTTACCAACTGGACCCGCACATACTGTTCTTAAGAAATTTCGACATCGCACAGTCTACTCAAACGTTGTTAATGATGGAATCGTGCCCCTGCGAACTAGTTGTTTACTTTTCCTCGATTGGCAAAGCCTGGGTCGTGTGGAGAAAGCTAGAAGGGAAAATGGTCTTGTTGGTACCATGGCGGAATGGAGTTGGGCTGAACTAACTGGGGCAAATTCTGGATCACCGGCAAAGAAACAAGCACCTTGGTCAGAGGAGGAAGTCAGTGACATGGATGATATTGGAGGAACTGCTTCTCCCAACGCATTACAAAGACTGGAGACAGAAGTACCACAACCCCCAGAAAACGTCATGGATGACGATAAGCGAAGTGTTAAAAATGCCGAGATGCCTGGCCATTCAACTATATCTTCTATAGAAGGTAGGAATAGTAACGAGATGGGAAGTCCAACGTCTACATCTTTTACATCCAATAATAATGGACCACTTGCCAGTCTTTTTGGATTTTTTCGCTCTAACCCTTCCCCGAAATCCCATGCTCATCAACCTAAACATTCGAAAATATATAAAAGAAGCCAAACTATCAAACTCACCAACGATAGCGGTTCGTCGACACCGTCCTCTCTACCATCTCCAGCTCCAGAGGGCCACTCAAAAGCTTCGACGGGAGACACCGAAATCCAAGATCCAGATCATCTATCAGCACCTCCCAAAACAACCTTTTTTGAATCAGCAGGTGATCTTCTCAAGCCACCTCTACCATCTACAGAATTTTTGATTGATCCAGCCTCCCGTGCTCGAACAATTTTCCATGATCGTGTATATCATCCTTCGGACATTCCTCCACCACCCCTCAAAAAGAGATCCACGATGCTGCGAAGACGAAATTCTTCCGTTTCTGAACCTACTCCACCAACACCTGCTTCTCATACCGATAGCCAACTTTCAGCCTTAGATTATGATGATCCCAAGAACACTAATCCCTCTCGTCCTCCAAATACTGTTGTCGACTCTTCAGCAATGAAAGTCGAAGAGAAGATTGCTAGAGCTTATCATCGGGATCTAAGTTGGCGCAAGGTTCTCGTCAGCTTAGAACCTGATGCTCATAATAACATGATTGTGAGAAGAATGTTCGCCAATGCATATGGGTGGCCAGTGATCAAACATCTTTGCGATACCCATTTCTCAGATGATGCAATTGCAAGAAGAAAAGATGTAGACAGTGGAGGACGAGAAAGAGCTAAAGGTGCAGGGGAGGCTCCAGGCTCAGAAGGACAAGAAGTCGAATCTTCAATAGATACAATAAATGCCGAGAAGAAACTTGAGGAACGTGACAGAATCACAAGACATGATCGCACGAATTCGGAAGCGAGAGAAGCGAGAGATTCCGTTCCAGCACTTGCAACGTCTACTTCATCAATGGGACCACCCCCCGCACCTTCAAGAAGTGCAAGTTGGTCAAGGAATAAACAAGATGGATATGAGAGTGCCGGGTGGACTGATAGAGATTGGGTTGATAGTGCAGACGATAGTGAAGAGGACGAGAACAAACCGGCAGCTTCTGGGTGGAACTGGACAGAGAAGATTGTTGGGAAAGGTTCAAATGCATATCGAAGTCAAAGTACCAGTCCTAAGGAAAAAGGAACCGATAAAAAAGAAATTGCAAAATTTCTAGGAAAAGAACCTCTGGTCGCGAGTCCCGAACCAATTGAAGCAGTAGATAAAGAACTGGGACGAGCTGGAGTGGGCAGTGGAGATTCTACCCTCCCGGTTCTTGCTAAAGATCTAGCTGGGATGGGTATAGGACTAGATGGAGCAAGAGCAGGGGGATCCGAAGTAATACCTAAACATGATCTTATGCCGGCAGCCAAGGAGAATTAATGTTCACTGACGAAGAAAGAAAGAAAATGAATTTTATTCTCGGGATATGATATAATTGCATAGCCATGGAGTTTTCATTTCGTTAGATAGCATGGATATATATCTTTAACATAAGAGATACATATACAAATCGAGTTTCTGAGGACTTTTGCCCTTGATTCTGCTTGTTACTTTTCACATTGTGAGTTCATGATTAAGCTTACAACGCCCTCTATTTGATGTCTTCCTGGCTTGACAAATGCATATATGAGGCTTAATTAAAGCACCACGAAAATTCTAATTTACTTTCAAATCTTAATGCACTCCCAAATCCCCAAAATTGTGTACAACAGTATAACAAATCCGAATTCAACATACACAAAACGCTGTTGTCAGTTAACTGGTAAACCTCCTCTTCGCCCTTCCCTCACATCCCCAAATTCTTTTTACCTCCCCCTTCGTATTTCTCCATCCACCTCCGCTTCTTTACCAACTTCCATTTAATTCTTCTATGTCTACTTCAATAAGTGAATGTGCACTTTCTCACGGATAGACGAATTTGTTACACGCCGAACGAGATAACTCGTAGAACAAAGGAGAGAGGCCCGAACTACACGGATAATGCAGCCCATGGTACGACATCTCAATTACGACCGGATTCTATTTGCACGTTGACTAGAGACTGTGACTAAGATTTGAACTATCCCACATAAACATTTCAAGCATCAAGGTGCCAGTTGCCAGGTAAAAGTAAGTCATTTCGAGTAATTCTATATACATTAAGCTAAATCCACCCTTAGGCGAAGAAGAAAATTATTCGTAAAAATGGTATAGATCGTTGATCGTTATATAGTCGTTATTGAACTCCATATCCGCCAGCCGGGTATTGATCCGAGTCATTGCTCCATATAAACGAGATAGCCATAGCCATATCTCCCAGCCGCCTTTCCTTCCCACCCGTGTCCGTACCCCTTTTATCCAATCAATCATCCGTTCATCCATCCATCCAAGCCTCTCATAGGCCTGTAATCATTGTGTTATCCCACCCGAATTTCGTAAGAATTGGTTTGTAGTCAAGCATAACCCTCTCGTTCATCCTAATTTATTTACCCGTTTACTAAAACCGCTCTTCCTCTAGGCGACAAAATCAAATCAAGATACCGGTTCCGCAGGTGGAGCACCAGGAGCAACGTGATTTCTCCAAGCATCTACTCTGTTCCTTCCACTACCAAGCCCAGCAAGTATTGACGACTTAGTCTTCTTCTCCTTTTCTTTCTTTGGCTTTGATGCAGAACTGGAGTCTCTGGAAGGCGTAGCAGAAGCTCTCGAAGCTGGCGCATGGATAGCTGCTTCAGCCGCATAATCAGTTCTTGTTCTTCTCGGCACCACAATATCTGACGCTCTTCGTGTATGAACAGCGCCTCTTGCAGTGTCCCGAGTGGTATGTCTTCTAACAAGACCCGGGGCCGCAGGTGGCTCAGGTACAGGAGCTGGAGCAACCGTTGGGTAACGATCAGTCATTTCGCCAACAGTTGGATTTGCTGCAGCCACTCCTCGTGGTCTTAAAAATCCCGGAAGAAAATTTGTAACTCCAAGTCCAAAGTTCATAACCCCACCAGGTTGAGCTAGGACATCGCTAGCTTCGCGTATGTAGTCCTGATTCATGAAATGATTTGCGCCATTGCCGACCCCCTGAACTTCGCCTATTCCACCATTATAGTTTGCATCGCGATCATTCGTTGGCATTCCATCCGTACCCCAGTTTTGAAGCTGTCGAGCTAGTCTTTCATCTTCGCGTTCTTGACGACGTCTTTGATCGAGCTCTTCATTGTAATTGGCAGGTGGTTGTCTTCTAGCTCTGTCTCGAGCATTTCTTGGAGGTGCTGCTGGATTTCTGACAGGGGCTTCCTGAACTGGAACGGGTTGAGGGACTTGCATGTCATCCAACCTATCGTTCTCAGTTGTTTCATAATTGAACCATGGGCAATTGCACGTCTTCCATTTCAACCCACAGATCATACAAAATTGTGCTGTACAGTGACTTCGAAGACGATATATGTTAGTTCTTGACCACTCTAGCTGTGCACAAATTCTCCACTTACCAAGTCATATGGTTACACCCCTCCTTCAACTCTACCATAGTCCTACAACTGTAACAACGTTGCCATCCAGCTTGTTTTGCAGTTTCAAGCAATTTGTTTGTTTCCTCGTCTTTAGGGCATTCTTTCGATCCATGCCATTTACCATTACACAATGCGCAGACTTTGGTCTTACACCTCCCACAGATTCCATATTTTTTCCCGTTCTCCTTGTGAATATTTTCGGGTTTGATCCATTCACCACATTTCTTCGCGGGACAGTATATTCGATTTTTCGTAGTGTATTCCTGATATTTCTTATTCCAAAGTTTCTTGAAAGGTACATCGAATAGCTTTTCGACATGTTTCAATGGAATGTGTTCTGCTGTACAACATTTTGGTGGCATATGTGCTGGATCCTTAACGGATAGTCGGAATATCCGTTTGAGGCAAGAATGACACATTCGATGGCCACATCGTAGTTTGGCACATTTAGATTTGGGAATATCATCGGATAGACAGGTGAGACATTCGACACTGTAATGATTAGGATACTACTTTTGCGCATCGATTTTATGGGATGACTTACAGCTTTTCCGGCTCGGGGGGTGGAGGAGGAGGTGGTGGTGGTCCGGATGAGAAGAAACTTCCTAAAAAACTACCACGCCGTTGTGATGTTTGTGAAGTGGTTGTATTTGCGACAGATGCTGGTGGTTTTGGCACTGTTGTATTACTCCTCCTCAGTATTGGCGCAGGCTCCGTGGTAATGCGAGTCGTTGCACTCCTACATACAAATGCGATTAATATTAAATCACAATGTAAGATGCGCAAAGCGAAGATACATACCTCGAAAGTGGAGGGCGTGACACGGAATCACCGGCAGTGATTTTAGTTCTACGCGACGCACTTTTCGACCCTGAGATTCCTACATCTGCGGAGCCCTTTGTAGGCGACTTATCTTTATCCTCTTCCTTCACCCTCCTAGTTGAACTTGACCTTTTTGGTTGCTCCGGAACCACAGCCTTGGTTCTCTTCTTCGACTTTGGATCCATAGGTTCTACTGGGGAGTTATCATCGTCTTCGGAATCACTACTAGACTCATCCTCTTCGTCCCGGCGTCTCCTTTCCGTTTTAGTCGCCTCCCGAGGCTTGTTCTTACTTCCACTCTCCTTCTCCCTCTGCCTCTCCCTTGGGGCAGCATAAACATAATCACCCCCCGATTTCTCCTCCCTCTCACTTGTTTTTGATCGCGAATGATGTCCAGCACCATCTTCTGAAGTATGATGTCGTCTTCTTCTTCTATGACTCGATGATGATTTCGTCGCATCAACTGTCGTACTTGAATCGGCGGGCATCTTTTCAGTTGCTGCTGCACTGTTGCGGGTCGATCGATTTGTTGGATTCCCCTCGAGTCTTTCTAGACGGAGTCTGCGGACTTCAGAAACATCAGGCTCAACTGATGTAACTCCGTCCTCTCCTTCATGTCGTCCTGATCGTGATTTATGAACTTTGCCATCTTCTAATTCGCCATCTCGAAATTTTGGCCTGCGCCTTACTTTATGAATATCGTTCAAACCCGCCATTCGAACTTTCTAACCCCAATAGCCTCAAAATTAATTGGGCATTTGAGCCTATGGAATTATCTTCACAATGCAGTGGGTGGATTGAAACGATGGGCGAGACAATTCAACGGTGAACAACTGGTGGTATGGGATAGGGTAATCCTTCTGCGGATGATATGATTGATTGGGCACAATTTGATTATTTGCTGACAGGCTTTTTGCATATGCAATAGCGAAAATGGGGCTGGAAACTCTTTTGATCGGATACGCAAGCAAAAATGGGTAGATCGGCGCAATTATTAAGTCTGCTACTGGTAAAGATGGCGAAGATGGCAAAATCAAAAGAAATCTTGCTGGGTATGGACCCTTACTTATGAAGGAGATCTTTTTGTAGGTACTGTACGAGTACTGTTGTTTAGTTCCTCGACTCCGTACTTGTGGAGCAGGAGGGGGAATGAGTACGAAGAATTAGATATGGAGAACATATATTTGACATGCTTGTACGACAGATAACTTTGGAGATAAGGAACAAATATCACAGGATTTGATCGAGTCCATATTCGGTCAAGCAACTGTACTTGCTTGTACTCAGTATTGATAATAAGTTGAACTTCATTTTGGCGGTGTTTCCGTTATCGTTGTTATCGTCGATAGTCGCAAAGCTCGCACGGAGGCACGGCACGCTCACGCTCGCTCGCACATTAGATGGAGGTGAAAATGGCACGGCCCGCAAGGGAAAACTCTTTTTCTTTTGTAAGATTACTTTGTAGGATTACAGAACTTCAACAAAATGTACCCTCACAACCCTGCTAAATCATTCGTATTGTTTTGCTTGCTATATATATTCAATAAGTCTAATGACAACACACACCCTCCTGTCTATAATGATTGCAAGTACCAATCATCACCAAAGAAGAGGAGAAGAAGAAGGGATTGTGACAAATATCGCGGATATAGAGATCATTGGCTTACCATTCGCCAAGGGTCTCTAAATTGTATCTGCTGCATTACCTGTTGTCATTTCTCTACTCTCTACCAAGCACCATACCATTCAAGCTACAATGAAAGCACTCGGGTTTCTCACATGGCAAGTGCTTGTGTTGATGATTTCCTATCGATCCTGTTCAGCAATCGTGCTGCATTTCTCCATCAATACGCGTATTCATGGAAAGCCCTGCAAATGTTGAATGTCGGCAGAGATCTTCTGTGGAATCTCATATTTGTGGTTAACTATCAACAATGATGTGTACAATGTGAACGATGTCAAAAAGTCCACTCAGAGACAGGTTGTCTTTCGTTTCGAACGGGACCATGCAATGTAGTGCTGGCCTCATTCAAATGTCGCCTACGTGGATATGCAGAATATCAAGAAAGGGGCGGGGCCAGATCGAGTTGCGAAACGGTTGGATTGCAACGTCTACCGGATTTAGACGACATATTGAGAGGAATTTCATACACTGCTTTTAACAAAGAAGCCTGATCAGACGTCAGATTATCAAGCATTATAACTTGTCACCCTGTTGTGCTCCAAGCAGGGCTATAGATTTCCATCATTTGCTTGCCCTCATACCACCATCAATCGTCGTTTCTACTCTAGGCCATCTCACCTCTCTGAATTTTTCATCTCCGCCTCTGCTTTACCAAAGTACTTGGTCCTCCGTGGCCACACCGTTCATCCAAGTATGAATTAATAATTCAGGATCAGAAAGGATCATGATATAACGCCAGTAAATGTGGTAACTACTGGGAAAGGGAGCATCTGTTTGTTTGCTGATTTAAGAGGTTTACACAACGTCTATGTGGCCGAAGTATTTTCTTTAGCTGGTGGTAATAGCATTGTGTGCAAACGCGATCACTCAATTTGAAAAAAGTCGTGGAATCCTGCCCGATGCCAAAAAGGATACTGCTGCACCTTTCAGTCAAATGGTTAGCCCTGGTCATCATCATCTTATACTTATACTTATGTAGAAATGAGTAAATCTGTTGGCAAATTGTTGATACTTTGTCCAATAATAATTTTAATACCTAGAATAATTTTTGGTGCTCTCTGAATTGTGCTTGTGGATATTCTTCGGCATTCCCTGTTGGCCACCAAGATCCCTCATACATCCGTTCATTGTTTTTTTAAAACTTTCTTGGAAAGTATTAGGTAGCACGCTACAATGGTACCTGCCTAAGGCAGTTAAAAGCTTGATGCAGTCTCATGCTAAACTTCGATGAAATGCGCATCCCACTCTAAGCAAATCTTACATCCATGATATATCATCGACAAGTTTTTTGGTATTCCGATAACTTAACTCGCTTAAGTAGTTTATGCTGCTGATCATACTTGCAGCTTGCTATAGAGCCTGCAGACTCCACTTCTCCACGAATCCTCAACCACCCAAAGGCCATCCGCGTATCCGATCACATGTATTTTACAACACAAGTCTTATAAATATCTAATAATTGCATTCACGATTCAACTCTTTCTTATCTTCTTCAATACTTTCATCATGGGAGACGACAAATATAATAGAAATGCCTTAGTCAATCGGATATTACCTCAGATGCAGCTAGCGAATGGCTTGAGCAACTCAGCACCTCCCTCAACTGATACTGAAAAGGATTCATCAGGTTTGAATCCTGCTATCAATAGATTTGCGGTGAAAGGAAATGCAATCTGTATCATACCCCTCCCAACTATCATCGACAACACTTACATAACGATCCAATTTAGTCACAGGCGGAGCAGGCACTCTAGCTTTACAAGGAGCTCGTGCCCTTCTCGAACACGGCCTTAGTGGATTAGCTCTATATGATATCAATCCAAAAGACGATCATCCTGGCATATCCGCCTTGAGGGCAGACTTTCCTAGTGCCAAGATTCTATTGAAACAAGTTGATGTCACAAACGTGGAAATTTTGAAACAAGTTATCGATGAGACAGTATCAACCTTAGGAAGTGTTGATATATTGTGTTGCTACGCAGGTGTTGTAGGATGTGTGCATGCGCTCGATATAAGTGTCGATGAATGGAGACGCACTTTGGAGATCAATACAACTGGGGCGTTTCTATGTGCACAAGCTGTTGCTAAGTATGTTTCTGTGTTGGCTTTAAGGTGGTAATGCTAATTTTGAATTTAGAAAAATGGTTGATCAAAAAACTGGTGGTTCCATTGTGTTCATTGCATGTTTGTCTCCGCAATTTCTAAGTAGTCAATTAACGATTGAGTGTACACTGACAACAATTTCTAGCGATATCTGGTCATACTGTTAACTATCCTCAACCTCAAATCGCTTACAATGTCTCCAAATCTTCTTTACTTCATATGAAATCATGTCTTGCAGCTGAGTGGTCTCGATACGGTATCCGTACGAATACCATCTCTCCTGGTTACATGGATACTATTCTCAATGAAGGTGATGGATTAGAAGATGCAAGGAATATTTGGACATCCAGAAATCCAATCGGTAGGATGGGAAATCCAGAAGAATTGAGTGGAGCTTTGGTACTTTTATGTAGTGGAGCGGGGAGTTATATTACTGGAGCTGATCTGATTGTCGATGGTAAGTTTGATGGTCATGATGGGACATCTGTGGAAGGTATACTAATTGATTGTTAGGAGGTCAAACTATCTTTTGAGCAATGAAAGAGATGCTGGAAAGTAACACCGAGGAGGAAGTTTAGCAACATGGTCTTCGACAACTACGTCACTGAGAATTCTATCAGATTATCGAATATCATATTGTCATTTTATCTCGCCCAAATTCAATTGTTAAATTGTGCGGTGTAGATCACTTCTTGTGGTAAAGGCAATGCCTCTGCGCGCTTACCCCCCTCGAGCGTGTTTCTAGCAGTCAGTCTTTTTAACCATGGTTTCCTGGATATTTGAATTTATGTTGAAAGTAAATTGACATTCCATTATTTGGAGATGCATTTAGAATATCTTGAAAGAGGTTATTAGCATCTTATTTCCGAAGAATTGCTCCATTTTTTTAATGATAAAAGGAGCATTAAAGTTTAGGTTGAGGTGCGTGAGAACTTGGAATATTCAGTCATCTATTATTGATTCAATCATTATGTTATAAGATGCCAAAAAGATGAAGGAAAAGGGAGAACAGTAATTCACTTAAGTTGTTTAAAATATGATCCTTGATTAGGGTTAGTAAAACTGTCGAACACCGTTGTCCTGGTATAGGGAGTGCTTGGGCGGAGAGATGAAGGTGCGACCAAAATGTTCCACGATGACAACATTGTTTCCCCGCCCGAGAAAATTACCATAAACTATACAGTGGGAGGGTTTGAACTTAGGATGATTTTTACTGCGCGACTGCACCAAATTACCATGCATTGAATAAAAGCAGTAATTCGGTATTTACTATCTTAGCAGGGACAAAGCTTCCTTTCCAAATTCTCAAGTCTATGAGTCGTCACCATCATCCGATGACCCAATATCTCATCAATCCCCGTCAAAATCGTTCATCTTCTTCAACATGTGGGCTTGATTGACGCATAACTTCTCCCTGGGAAGCCCACGGGAGTCGAAAGTGGTCCCCATTCGCCGAGAAGGTTTAAAGGTGCCATCATTGGCGAAGAACTGTACGTTCTTGGGAATTATCATGGCATATTCTTGATATTGGAAAGAGACTTTATCGTAAATCGATGGAATGAAGCGTTCCAAGAACTTTTTGAGATATGAAAGATGAAGGTGTTATAATGTGTTCTCGTCAACTTGAGTAAGATATTTAAAGTATGTGTACGGAATTTCTCTCAAATTTTCACTGAAGCTACAGAGAGGTGAGTATCGAATTACCCCGAAGCTTGTCGGCGGTATCTGACGAACAAGTGTTGAAACACACAACTGAATTAATGATCGATTTGCCAGACGATTGAGAATACGGGTAATTACACCAAGCAAGTCAAGACTCAGTAGCCGAGTTGCAGGAGAATTCTTATCGGACAGTGAATTTGATGAATAAAGAGAGTGGCAGATTAGCAACTCCGCTAACTATCATAGCAGGTCATACTCCGTTGTTCCCTATCTTCGCAAATTCTGTGCTAGATCATTGTAGATTCTGACCACAACACGCTCTAAGTAAATCGTCAAAAAACCAACTAGTGGGGCCTAGGTTGAAAATTGGAAAATTGGCAGATACATAAAATGTGCACGGTGACCATGAAACTCTTGCCGTGGTCCCTCCCTTCGAAGTCATCCCAGATTTCGAGCGCAAAAACGAAAAGACGAATGGGCAAAGCGAAAACCAGAAACCGAGAGGAAAATCCAAGGTAGATGATCCATGAGGATACGCGAAGGAAACAATATTGAATACTCCGGTCTACAGGATTCATGAAGGAAGCAGTCTATGGGAAGATTTCTGCAAATATTCGAAGTATTCTTGAGTCTGCCATTTTCCCCCCAACACTATCAGTCCAGCCTAGAAAAACTCCGAGACGACGAACAAGTCCAAGTAAGCCGGTATATTGAATATCACACTGTTCATCAGCACTTGTTCCATGTTGGCCACCTTCTCCATCACCAGCATGAGCTTTTGAGGTCAGAGCCTAGTGTATATATATCTATCGGCCTACTATTTTCACCGCGAAGCAATTGATCGCGAGACAAAAGACATCCGCAGTTGCGTAAATAGCGTAATCGAAAATCAACAGCCATTATAGAAACCTACCCCATGATTGTTCGATGGCCTCCTAAGTTGTCTGAAGCTCTGCTTACTGCTTACATAATGCGGGGTAATACTTGTGGTGTTGCTAACTTAACACCTGCTCTTCGTTTTCAATATACGTGCGATATAATTCACATCACACATCCTGAGCTTAACAAATTGAGCCACCGAGTTGAACATGGAGAACAATCATGACGCGAAAATGTTATTATCAGAGAGTTTGAGGTCGATCCTACAAGGTGGCATCAATGCCGGTGTTCCAGGTGTCTCCGCTTCAATCGCCACGTCTAAAGGCATTATATGGCGGGATTCTGCTGGGTTTTGCGGTCTTAGAACAGAATATCCCGATCAATGACTCGACTGTATTTGGAATCGGGAGTATCATCAAAGTATTCGTGGCGGTTGTAATCCTTCAACTCATCGAAGAAAGTCAACTCAATGTGTCGGACAAGATCAATGAACATTTAGACCAGGGCGATTTAGATGGCATCGGTAATGCAAATGATGCAACAATTGGCGGTTTACTAAGTCATACTGCTGGTATCGAAAGTTGGGAAGATGATTTGAACTGGATCACTGAAGCGAGAGGTAAAGAATTGGACCCGAAAACAATTTGGGGCAAGAAAGATACTCTAGAGTATGTTAGACGGCCATCCAGGCTTGAAACTGGTCGTTTCTCTTATTCTAACACAAACTATACTCTCTTGGGTTTGTTTGTTGAGAGAATTACCGGTCACTCGGCAGAAAGCGAGATCCGTCGAAGAATACTCGATCCTCTAAATTTAATGGATACATTTCTGGAAGAGTTTGAAGAGGTGGGATTACGAAAGGAAAATATACCACACCGATATCATTACGCTACAGATATATTTCGCAATACTGCAGGAGTAGGTCCAAGTTTCTCCGAGTATAAGTGGAAAGGACTGGATCTTATTAATGCAAGTGAGTCAAATCTATCAGTAGAATGGGTAGCCGGTGGGATGATCTTCTCAATCTGTGACCTTATCAAGTTTGCGACTTCTCTCCGGGATGGAAAGCTGCTTAGTCCCTCATCTATGGATCTTCTCAAAATATGGCAGCCGGCCACAGAATCAATGGAAATTGGGCATGGGATCTTTAAATCCGGAAATCCTTATACACAAAAGAATTGGCTTGGACACATTGGAAGCGTACTTGGATTTAGAGGATCTCTTTGGTGGAATGAGGAAGTCGATTGTGTTGTATGTGTTCTTGCAAATGTGGGAATTGTGCATGCTGGAAAAGTTCCATCGAGTGCGCCACAAATTGCCTTCGAATCTGAGTTCCTAGGAGTAGCTGTCAAGTTGACTAACATCGCCGTGAAAGAGGAATAATTATCAACTTGGAGAGAAGTACTAGCTCTAAAAATGTTGCGGAAGTCCCGAAATTTTCTGTCTGCTCCCAGAATCTGAAGTAAGTCAAAAATATTAACTCCGAAGTCTCTTCATGCATCACCCCAGGAGAGAAGCAGACTCAAGCTAGATCTCCGTTTGAAATTGCATATTGACAATGTGGCAAAGGTAGGGATCAAAATCTTTAGTTCATTATTTATGAGGACGGCACACATCTCTTCATAGTGAAATGTAATCTCAACAATCGACGAAATCGATCCACGATCCACTTCTTTCTCTTATCTTAATTTCTAATTTTCCTATCATGAAGAATGGTGTGACTGTCAATGTGACAGCATACGCAGGAATAGAAATGGAAAGTGCAAGCTGTTGCTTGGAAAGGTAGATAACCACCTGGAAGTTCCAGTCGACGATTTATACATATGAAAGATGAGCTCCAGGCCGTGGGGGAATTGTTATTCTACACGGCGAAGATTAAAACCCGCCAAAGTCTCCAGAGAAATGATTGGTTGTGAGTAATACGACTAAATTAGTATTCGGCATTGACCGCTGGTTTGACGAACAAAATTGGATTTCCCAGATCTCGGCTCTCCAAGTGGAGCGGAAACCAAGATCAAGGCAATCTGTCCACGTGATGGATTTCTACCTACCTACTCCACGATACATCTCTCGTCGAAGCATGTCAGTGTCGGGTAACAACCGTGGAGCCGAGGTAGGCGGGATTGCCTGGCACACTAGTATTCCCCGCCCCCCACTATCCCCCCAAATTAATGTTCTCCGGAGTTACATTCGTACCCACACAAGACACGAGTTGCATTCGGAGCGCTTTCCCAGATTTTAGGTGGAGCGGAGCTAACACGTTGCAGAAGCCAGACATGTTATCTTGGTGAGCGGGGCGAGCACTCGTCGAATCAGCCAAAGTTCATTGAACTGGCTACGGTACCCAAGGTTATAAACTCGGACTTTGATCAAGTAAGGTTACGTACCTTCCTTACTCATTATTCATTCCACCATGAATATCTCTCGTACGCAACGCATCGCATCATACATTCATACTATTGATGTACCCTCATATTTTATACTGGTATCCAAGACTCGGACGACCAAGAACTCACCATTATCTTTGCCTGATGTGAACCCTTTTCTCAATCGTTGAGAAAAGCTTTGCACCTTCCCGTTAGGATTGACTTTAAAAAAGCTTAGTTCCACAGTCCTTGGAAATCTGCCCGCTACAACTGTTCAATTGCGAGCCCCATTTTACGGTAACTTCGGATTCCGAAGCTCACAACATAACTCATAACTCATAACTCATAGCTTATCTCAAATTCTCTCTATGCTCCGGCCACAACTTTAGTGGAAAGAGTCATGTGGTCATCTCCCCGCTTGCGTCCCCGTCAGATTGATTAGAGGTCCATAAAAGAATCGTAAGGTGGAAACAATTGCATACATGTTTTCTCCATGTTTCCGATCGACGGCAACCCATTTTGATCGTCGGTTACTGCTCCGCACGAGGCAAACCCTTTTCGTTTTGTTTTGAAGGAGAAGTGACGTTGTCCACGTATGTCCACACACGCGTTGTCAGAATTCCCTGTTGAAATCTCAATTTCTGCGCCTCAAATTTCCAATCATTTATGTCAGCATCTTGTGCACACTACATTGTACACCACATTGTATGTTGCTTGCAAGTCGCAAGCATGGAACGGAACAATGATTGTGACTGAGGAAAGCTGATTTACAGTGGCGGAGCCCAGGGTGGAGCGCGGGGGAGTTTTACACAAGAAGTTAGCGTAGTTGGGGGAAACCTAATTTGACAGTACGGGGTGCGGGGCGTAACTTCTCAAAGAGAATACCTAGTAGTTTCCTGCCAAAACTAACCAATTTCAATTCGTGCGCATACAATTCCATATAAACTCCCTTCCTTGCTCCTAATTGGCTCTGGCATGCATTACTGTTGAAGCATCATGTAGACAAATAAAGAAGCTACGGGGGGCGGGGCGGACCCGGACGGTAGAGTTGTCTCATGCAGCAACGATTTTACCACCAATAAGCGTCTTTCGGGATATGCAAAGATCAACAGGATATAATGTCCCGATTCCCCCAATGTACCCAGGTATCCTTCCATATTTTGTATGAAAGCGAGAACGAGCAATTTATTTTGTCAATCGCCATTGTTTATACGCGATAGGAAAGTTCTACTGTGCTCTTTCCGCATCTGAATTGAAGCTGCCGAGCTTCCGATCTTCTGTCCATTTGTCAAGCTTTGGGAACATACTTTGCAAAGACGAAACAACATTGCAGAAATCACATTCAAAATGGCGACGACTGGAGCCGATGTGCACGGGGAGAAGGGCGACATTGAAAGCTTGAAGGCACATAACCTGGAACATGACGAAGTCCTAGTAGATAAGGATCTTATGAACGATGCCTTCGAAGGAGAGAATCGAGAGCATGAGATGGGTATGTGGGAGGCTGCAAAACAACATCCCATGGCTTGCTTTTGGGCATTTACCTTTTGTTTCACTATTGTGAGTCCTCAACTGTTATGCCAATGTCCCGTAGAATCTCTTCTAATACAACTTAGGTAATGGAATCGTTCGACATGTTCTTGAATGGCAATTTCGTTGCACTCGGCTTTTTCCAGAAAACTTACGGTATCCAACAAGCTGATGGATCATATGCCGTCCAAACAAAATGGCAAAGTGCACTGTTTCAGGCAGGTCAATGCGGTGCCTTCGTTGGTGTCTTCTTGGCTGGCCCTGTTACCAATCGGCTTGGCTACCGTTGGACTACAATTCTTGGCTTGATCATGATGAATGCCACGATTTTTATCTCCTTCTTCGTAAGTTGCATGCTTCCTTTCTCAATATTTGCAAGCCTCAATGAGCTAACAACGAATACAATTTAGGCCGACTCTCTCGCTGTACTTACAATCGGTCAAGCTTTCGAAGGTGTCCCTTGGGGATTTTTTATCGCAAATGCTCCAGCATATGCAAGTGAGGTCGTACCTCTCTCGCTTCGAGGTGCATGTACTGCCACCCTACAAATGTCCTGGTCTATTGGCAGTATCATCGTCGCCGCTGCCACTTATGGTTACAACAAAAAGAATAGCACATGGGCCTGGAGGGCACCTCTTGCATTGCAATGGCTTTTCCCCGTAAGTATTCCATTTGAAATTCCGAAGATATAAAAGCTCATTTGTCCAGACTCCACTCTTGATTCTTATCTTTTTCGCACCAGAATCGCCTTGGTGGCTGATACGACGGGGTCGCAAGGAAGAAGCTATTCGATCCATTACGCGTCTTGGTAATAAATCCGAAGGGTATGCTGAAGGTCAAATTGCAATGATGGAGCGTACCGTCGAGATCGAAAAGAAAATAGGAGGGGACCCAACTCTTCTTGACCTCTTCAGAGGTACTGATTTGAGACGAACTATTATCACTTGCTTGATCTACGCATCACAAAACTTTGCCGGAAATCTTATTGCCAATCAAGCTACCTTTTTCTTCGAGCGTAAGTGGATAATCTTCTCTTTGAAATATGAAATTATAGTTAGCTAATTCTATTGATGTGTTTAGAAGCCGGAATCTCCACAGACTTTTCTTTCAAGCTTAATTTGATCAACTCATGCCTTCAATTGGTTGCCAATGTCCTTTCCTGGCCTCTTACAGCCAGGTTCGGTCGTCGAACAATTTATCTTTGGGGTACAGCCACTAACGTCACTTTGCTCTTCATTCTCGGTATCTGCGCCTCCATTCCACAGAATAATTCGACCAATTACGCTCAAGCATGCTTGGGAATAATTATTTCATTCGTCTTCGCTGGAAGTCTGGGTCCAATTTCATACAGCATTATCGCTGAGACATCCTCTGTCCGTCTTCGTGCCTTGAGCACTGGTGTTGGTCGTGCTGCCTACTATGTTGCAGAGATTCCTATGATTTATCTTGCCTCACAAATGCTCAACTCAACCGGATGGAATCTTGCAGGAAAGTGCGGTTTTGTATGGGGAAGCACCGCTGTTGTCTGTTGGGTCATGGCCTACTTCTTCCTCCCTGAGCTCAAAAATCGCTCTTACCGTGAAACCGACATTCTTTTCAAACGGAAGATTTCTGCAAGGAAATTCAAGTCGACTATCATTGATGTCAAGGATAACGATTAAGCTGGTGTTGGTATAAGGTTAAAAGAGTAACATACCTTGTAATTATAAATGGGTGGGAATCGTGATTCGTGGCCTGCTCCCAAGTAAGTAGTCAAGTACTATATTATAGACTATAAAAATTAGATAGAACATAGAACATAGAATATAGAGCATGTATTAATCTTAATTGCAAAGCTTTAAATTTATATCCATTTGAGCATACTTCATTTTCTTTGTTCCTGATTCTTCCTAGAGCTCCGACTATTAGAGCTCCACTACTTCACTGCGCATAAGAGTAAGCTGGTCCTCATTAGTATCGGGGCTCTGACAATACCGGGATACCTTCTCCTGTACTGTGTTGTAGCGTCATCTCGAGCATGTAATTATATATAATGTTTAAAGACCTTTGAATACCCACCCGATTCATGTGTACAAGAAGGCTCCATCTAATACTTTCACCAAGATGGAAGTCTGCTTGAAAACATCCTCCATCACGCTCGTCGCTCAGCAATCTCTTCGTTATCAAAACCTTCGCTCTCAAGCTTTATTTGAAATCCGACGAAATCTTCGCAATCTACATGTTGTAAAGCTTGCTTAGTAGTGAAAATAAACATCCTGTCAGTTTTTACGAAACGATCTCTTCAATCTGAGAGGTAGTATTGTGAAACATTAAGCATGATACACTATGAGTCGAAGCAAAGTCTACATTACCTGTCAGCACTAATGCAAGGCATTTTAGTGAGTACGTAAAATATTACCAACATTTTCAGCCCTGTCGATCAATTCCGTAGAACCTCCTTATGTTTCATAATATTACAGTAAGGGGCCTTTCTGTAGAACTCACGACTAGCAATTGATGTCGATTAATCAAGACGTTGAAGTGCAACTAAGGAGCGGCAAGCGACTATGGCCACACTCAGCAGCCAAAACTCAAATGGAGTCAAATATACAAGTATCCAGATCTTCTAATTTCGGTAACTTTCCTTAGACTTTCATACTTGAGTGTGCTGCTATGTTCACAAAAGGCCTTCCAAGACGCCCAATTGATTATGTTGTAAGCAGCAGGTTATGGTCAGCCGCTTTTAATCTTGGAGGTTAGCTTTTATAATAATAAGGAATAGTATTATTATAATGATAGTGGAAGATCTAGTCAGTTTAAGCTTGAGGGATAAATCGAATATATATGATAAGAGTTGAATTGAAGTCAATTTAGAAGAGCTAGGCTGAGTTGAGATGAATTGCTTGCTTTTTCCTAGATTTTCTTTAAAGAATATTCTAGGTTTATATAGTTTATAATGAAATTCCAGTATATTCTATGCTTATAAATAAGATCGATTTAAATCGTATCTTATAGAATCATTTTAGATAATAAAAAGAAAGTACAACCAATCAATTTAGCGATATTTCCTGTATACTTCCATCTAGTTCCATTTCATTCTATTCCATTATAAATCAATTTGATAAGAGATACTATTATACAACTATATGATAATATGATTTTATAATATAAGATCATATTATATATGTATTAGTCATCAAGATATCCCTTATTTAGTAAGATATTAATAAGTGATTTAGTGGACTTATTATGAATCCTCACAACCAGAGTTATAATTTCTGGTTGGTCCTCCAGAATCACTGCAGGTTGTTGTTGAGTGCTTCACGATATCAATGATCTGAGTGGCAGAAGATGTGCTGAAGAAAGCACAGAGAACGATGGCGACAGTGTTGATATTGGTGAGAAGCATTTTGAAATTTTGGTTGGTTTTTTCAAGTTTTGTAGAAGGGGATTGAGATGATTTGTGAATGGGTTGAAGGAGAAGAAACTTGGGAATCTATCGAGCATTTATACTTCAACTTTGACGTAGCTTCGATGAGCTTACATGTACAGCGCGACATATTTCCTTATTTGGATTGATCAAGGGAAGGCACATACAGTTTGATCGACAAAAGATGGATGTGCAAGCAACTCAATTGCATCAAAACCTCTCGATGATGAGCCAAGTCAACCAGCTACAAGCAAGATCTACATCAATCTACGGAGTCTTCGGGTGCTACAACCTTGTGAATTGGCTCTTTCGAGATTGATGAAGCGCTTCGCCAAGCTCAGTTCTGACAATTAGAAGACCCGTAGACCTCGCCCAGCTTTGCAAATCAGGTTACCTAGCCAAAGGCATTGGAGATCGCTAAATAACCCCCCTATTTAGAAGATATGCTGACGATGATAAGGGCAATGTGTCACTGCAGACAAGGAAAATATGATGACGCGGAAGCACTGATTTTAAATGTGAGGATTCATAATAAGTCCACTAAATCACTTATTAATATCTTACTAAATAAGGGATATCTTGATGACTAATACACATATAATATGATCTTATATTATAAAATCATATTATCATATAGTTGTATAATAGTATCTCTTATCAAATTGATTTATAATGGAATAGAATGAAATGGAACTAGATGGAAGTATACAGGAAATATCGCTAAATTGATTGGTTGTACTTTCTTTTTATTATCTAAAATGATTCTATAAGATACGATTTAAATCGATCTTATTTATAAGCATAGAATATACTGGAATTTCATTATAAACTATATAAACCTAGAATATTCTTTAAAGAAAATCTAGGAAAAAGCAAGCAATTCATCTCAACTCAGCCTAGCTCTTCTAAATTGACTTCAATTCAACTCTTATTCTATATATTCGATTTATCCCTCAAGCTTAAACTGACTAGATCTTCCACTATCATTATAATAATACTATTCCTTATTATTATAAAAGCTAACCTCCAAGACTGGTGATTGTTATACTTTCTATGATACCGATCATGGATTGGTGTTGAAAAATATGCCACGAGGTTGCACTTGTAAGTGACTGACCACTTTACGTTACTACCAGCACCATGTGATTGTTGACTGGCTTGTTTTTGATAGTGACTACCTATGCAGCTAAAGGCTGTGGCGGAGTAACCAGTCACTATGGTACAGACCGTCTCAATCAATGCATCTCTCTACAGGGTAGATGGTCGATGAAAGTAGTTGGTTGTTAAGCTTCTGATGTGTTTTGGAGATGGAAGACTCATCATGTTGCACTGGTGGTTTCCTTGAGCTATCTGGATTTGTACTAGAATATCATGTCTTTGTATCGAAATCTGTCATTCACTTCTAGAGATATTCTGGGGAGACATTAAGGATTCTTTAAGTTGTTAGTGGTTGATCTTGATCGTATTTCAAGTCACACTCATTAGTAGTTACGCTTTATAGCAATCACATTCGTTTTTCTTACTTAACGAGTTAATATTCTTATGAATTTATTTCATAAGTGAGCTTATTTTCAAATAAAGAGTACTTGTAGGTGATAACAGATAATAGGAGGTGATTTTTAATCTTTTATTATTAAGAATATTATTGAGAAGATTTAAATTACATAGCGATATTTTTAAATGAGTGGAGAATTAAAAGGATTATCTTTAGAGTATTTCTAATTGAAATATTGACAAAATTTCAGAAATCTATAAATGATAATTTTACACCTTTATAAGTATTCTAGCGGTATCACCTATTTCATACATATGATACATTCAATAACGTGTCCGGAATCCCACTTTAGTAATTGAACTAAAATTGTAATCGTTTAAAACATTGTTATAAACCAATGGAGTAAAGTGCACCAGAACCTCGTTGAGTCAAGGATCTCAAGACTAACCAAGAGAATGCAACAGCTTTTAAATACTACTCGCCTGAGTTACCGTTTATTCTACATTATGTGCATGACATCTGCTGCCACACGCGACACAAGTCCTGTGATTCAGCATCCCCGCGCCACACGTTAGGGAATCTCAAGATTCCCGAGTCGAAAAACTGAACTTTGCCATCCATACTGAACTGATGGTACGGCGCTGGCTGCCGAAACCTACTGGGATTGGTGACAGTCGTTGTTGGATTCCCGCTTGTGACGAAAGTAACTACATAATCCTGTAGTATGCGTGCTGCGCGAATTGACGCCACTGGCACGAATGGTTGGTAAAAGAGATAAAGCAAATCACCCCCATGTGATCTGCTCTGAACCGTGTTCCACCTCTGCCGCCAGACTTGATCGCTTTTTGCATCACTGGTATATGTAACGTGACAGCGGAACGTGACATCGCCAATAATCCTTGCGACATCCTCGGCATCGTTATATCCAGAGTGATATGTTTCTAAGATCCACTCTTTCTCGTCTTTGGTAATGTTTGGAAATGCGAGATCAAGGAAGCCTGGCACGGTGGTACCCTGGTCTTCAAATGACTTTGCAAACTGGCCACCCTCGTTAAAAACATGGGAAAGAATGAGTTGTACATCGTGTAAAAACTCTCCTTTGTTGAGCAGCTTGGCGGGAGACTCAGGAGCAAAGTCCCCCCACGCTGTTGGATTATATAGAAAGGAGCCAGGCGGTGCGTTTTGTATCTGCTGAAGATTTGCCTGCATCATCTGCGCTTCTGATACCTTACGCAGGTCCCGCAGGTCCGCCAAGGTCGAGACGCCGTTGTACTTTGTCATAAACTCCCGAAACGTGCTTTCCGCCGTCGTTTGATCTGTGATTGGTTGCCAGCCTCCCGAGAGGGAGATAGCGCGCTGAAATAGTGCCCCTTTCTGACCACCATAGGCGGTGAGGTGGTGCAATACGGAGCCTCCTCCGGCCGAAAGCCCGACAATGGTGACTTGATTTGAATCGCCTCCAAACTTGTCGATGTGATCTTGTACCCACTGTAGGGCTTTCTGTTGATCAAGTAGCCCTGCATTGATATCTTTATCTTCGATATCGCGGCCGGCTGCAAAACCCAAGGCTCCCATACGATAATTCATCGCAACAAAAATCATGCCGCCTCGGTCATTTACCATGGCGCGATCCATCAGCCCTCCGGGAAAGTAAAGGGACTTGCCACCAAAGACGTAGGCGCCACCATAGATCCAGACGAGCACAGGCTTCTTTTGCTTTCCATCAAAGGCGGCCTTTGGGGCCCAGACATCAAGAA